GGAAAGAGCGAGGCGGATGAAAGAAGGAGAAGAGAAACAGCAATGGAAACATTCTTAGTTTTTATATTGGCTACTTTTTGGCTATGGTTTGACGGAAGAGGTCTATTCGGCGGTAACGTTTTTAAAAATCCGGCTGGATATATTTTCATCGCTGATGAGAAGCCGACAATGTATGAAACGGCACAAGAGTACAGCATACTGATTTCGTTTACACACAATTCCTGAATTCTCTCTAACCTTTAGAGCCTCGCAGACCACGCGTTGAGATCACCCTTCTTCGTGAACAGAAGCCCTCCTATCCGGTGCGATTTTCGTGGCAGCCTTAAACTGTTTACCCGTGTCACGTCACGCAAATAGGGGAAAGGGATCCACAGGGATGTCATCTGTACACTTAGTTCTCTCTTAAAGGAAACAATACTCTAAAAACAACAATTAGCAGAGGAAAAGGACGAGAAAGGAAGAGGATCACTATTGAGAATTTCTTCTCCTCCCTTCCCACGGGGGGTAGGGGCATTCCCATATTTTCCCTAAACGGGAACGTGCCGCTAAACAGGGTATAGCGACTTTCAGGGTCTTGTGAGTTTTAAATTTTACTATTAAGCGTCTTGACCAGGTTGCCTTTTTGGACCGACAGGCTTTAAAAAAAGTGTGAAGGTAATGGCAATGATCCGGTACCAACTATTTTTTCCAATAATAATTCCAAGATGTTGGTTTAAAAAATTACTTACTGCTGTATGCGAAATCAGTGTGTCATGAAATAAAGCCTCTTGTCTTAAACAGGATAGCGAAATGAAATGATTTTTGTCTTAAACAGGGTGAGGGTTTGAAGGTCTCGGCGGCACATATAAAAACCCCTACTCAAGTTTCCCTTTGAGTTCCCTTAGAGGCCAGGGTATATCGGCACATTAAACAAATTAGATCAATAAAAAAAATAAACCTTTTAAACTGTTCTTTATTCCTTTGCACCTAAAACCAACGGTGACGCACGGAGTCGCTCAACTACGGCACACGCTAAAATCTATGTTTTAGGCCTATCTCTCGCTTTACAATTGCTTCTGCTATAGCAACCACAAGCTTAGAATTCGCTAACAGGGCGTTTCTTTACCCACTCATTTATTTCGGGTACGTTTAACACCCGTTTATAATGCTTCACCAAGAGCGGGAACTTCTCAAGTTCCCCAGGAACATCCTCTTTACCCTTCGAATGGAAGTTGTTAAAGAAGTCAAAGAAAGTGATGTCGGCATAGCTCAGCTGCAGATAAGAGACAGAAAGAAATCGCAGTTACGCCAGGGGCGTAGGATTGGGGCAACCTTTCTTCTGCGTGTATGATAAGCCTCAGGCAATAGATGCGGTTACTAAAACCATGGTAAAAAGCTTTTCCCACATTAACGAAGCCGTGGTAAATTTAACGTGGGTTTAGTTTAGAGTTCCCATTAAGGCCTGTTTCAAATTCGTCGTGCTACTGCCGTGCTAAGCTGCCTCGACTGTAGCTCGACTGCAGCGCGACACTAGCACGACTTGGTTTCAGACGTCGAAATTAATTCAGTCGAATAAAACGGCAGTTGCGAAAAACAAAAACACAAAAACAAAGAAACGGTTTAGCAAACTTTTAAATGTATTCTAATGTATTTATAATTTACGAATTAAGTTCGGCACGGCGGTAGCACGACGTTTGAAACGGGCCTAAGGGAATTAAGCTGCTATCAGGTTATGGCTTCATTCGCGCAGTTACGGTAATAATAGCCGTCGACATTGGTAGTATTTTATGTTATGTTGAAAATTTACGTATAATTTTATAGCTGAAATTTCAACTGGTATGTTATTCATCATAATTTAGCGAAGGTACATAGTTCGATTTTACAGTTCAGCTGTATCCCGCTGTTCGATACCAGGAATAGAACATATTTTTGGGAAATATCGTTTCTAAATTTATTTCAGCAAACCAGTTCAAAATTTTGACATGAAATCTGCCATGTCATCATCGATCTTTCTCTCAACAGGTGCGAAAGAAACGAGTTTAAAAAAGCAATTTTTTGCGGTTTCATTTTGAAGAAACCTGATGGTTGTTTGCCGGTGTATGACATTTGCAGACTGCAGACTGCAGACTGCAGACTACACAGATTGCAGATTGTAAATTAAATGACACCAAAAATCTTCCTAATAAAGGTGACGTCATCAAAAATATAACCTCGTGTGAAAGTGAGAAAGTAGCCTGGTTGATATTTTTGCGCAAAGTTACATTGGACTCATTCCCAGGATGTTGTTGGCTATTCTTCTTCGACCCTTTCTCAACTCAACCGGCATATCACTAGTTGCGTTGACTCTTTACAAGTAGCAATGCCCACTTATGCCTGTCTAAATAGTAGTCTTCTGTTAAAAAAGTTTTTAGATTGCGAGCACTTGGTGCTCATTAAAGTTACGTCGACAAAAACAACTAGGATAGATTAAGGACTTTTAACACCTTTTAAATGACGTATTTCATCTTAGCAGTATTTAGGGATATGCTAAATAATCTAAAATGAACAGATCCTACCTGGACTCGACGAATTACCAGAACTGCATTTGGAATTTCTAAATAGGAAAAGCATTGCTCATACTCAAGTCCAAGTACACAGGTGGGGACCCCGTAGAATAAAGATTCCGGCGCTGTTTCTCAGACAGACTTATATAACCGTAGTTTAATTTCGTCTGTGGTGTAGGCTAAATTGCTAGATTGTTGCTATGGAATAATGAGCAAGTTTGTGACATCGGCAGGCATTATTCTGCTCTAATTAAATACGAAAAGAACAGCCAACAGCTCCTTTAGGAATGAGGTCTGTGTAATTTGCATGAAAAATATAAACTTCGCTTCTAGGCCTTACCTCTCGGAACAAGGTAATGTTGATGATGACGCCACCTTTATTACGATATTTTTGGTTTCATTTAATTAACAGTCTTGCTGCCTCATGCAGTCTGCAAATGTCATACACCGTTGTTTTGCTTGGGTATCGAAAACCCTAGCTTTTTACTAAGTTTAATGTCATGGGCGGTTTCTTTGCTCTTTTTGACGTAACCATGGATATTTCCCATAGTAAATGTATCTCGGGAAAGTCCGGTCACACGCACCGAGGCAATTTCCCACGGTGAAAGGGTCATTTGCCACGGTAAATAAAAAGTGTCTTGTGTAACCGCACATAATGTATTAGGCTACCGTAAAATTCCGAAAATAAGCCCTTCCAAATATAAGCCCCCTAATCCTGTAACGCAAAAAACCTTTCGTTAAATCGTCCCTCCAAATATAAGACCCCCGGGGGCTTGCACTTGGAAAATTGCCCTAAAATACAAAGTAAAACAAAGCAAAAACGGTAAATTTAATTTAAACTATAAGGCTAGCCCAATCGATTTTGAAACGCAAATTTGCTTCCGTAGATAAGCCCCTCCGAATATAGGCCCCTCCAAAAATAATCCCCTCAAAAAGGGCCTTTGAAAAATATCAGCCCCGGGGCTTATTTTCGAAATTTTACGGTATGCTTACACTATACCGGATTCTTTTACTTACTGTATATAAAAATTCGCTCGTGTCAACGAGAACACTTGCGAAGTTTTTCCTTTTCAAAGCGGAGTACTTTCTTACGTTAATACCGTGAAATGTGGAGATTTCCATGCTTTATATAAAACTGTACCCCGGGTTTCCAATAGCTTTATCTGTTACAAATGACTAAAAGGTAAATGCGTTGATAAAAAAAAAAAGAAGAAAAAAAGAACGACATTGGCTACAAGATGACTAGTGAACTTACCTCATAAAGAGTTTTGTTCCATTTGAAAAATATGTTTTGTAAGGATGATTTGATAAATTATCTTGTCAATGAAAAGTCACACTGGAGGAACACCACGTTTCAAGAAGGTAAAGATATTTAACAACAACAAAGTCTCTAAGGATGTTTTTATGCCTTGAAGAGAGAAAAAAATCATATCGATCGATCCTAATTTCCAGGAACAATAGTGAAAAGAACGTTTACATAAAAAAAATTATCCTTGAATCTGCATCACGCCATGAGTTGTTAATTGGCCGAAGTTTTGCTAAAACTGTTTGGATGTGGAATCTTTTGCAGATAGTATTTCCAGTCGATTTTTTGAAAACGAAGCAAACCAGCGAAATTTGCAGTCATTTGAGTGAAAAAGGCCCAAACTGGCAGGTTTTTTGCACCCGATAAGCTCAAAAGTCACATTAGCAAAGGAAAGAGCGAGGCGGATGAAAGAAGGAGAAGAGAAACAGCAATGGAAACATTCTTAGTTTTTATATTGGCTACTTTTTGGCTATGGTTTGACGGAAGAGGTCTATTCGGCGGTAACGTTTTTAAAAATCCGGCTGGATATATTTTCATCGCTGATGAGAAGCCGACAATGTATGAAACGGCACAAGAGTACAGCATACTGATTTCGTTTACACACAATTCCTGAATTCTCTCTAACCTTTAGAGCCTCGCAGACCACGCGTTGAGATCACCCTTCTTCGTGAACAGAAGCCCTCCTATCCGGTGCGATTTTCGTGGCAGCCTTAAACTGTTTACCCGTGTCACGTCACGCAAATAGGGGAAAGGGATCCACAGGGATGTCATCTGTACACTTAGTTCTCTCTTAAAGGAAACAATACTCTAAAAACAACAATTAGCAAAGGAAAAGGACGAGAAAGGAAGGGGATCACTATTGAGAATTTCTTCTCCTCCCTTCCCACGAGGGGTAGGGCATTCCCATATTTTCCCTAAACGGGAACGTGCCGCTAAACAGGGTATAGCGACTTTCAGGGTCTTGTGAGTTTTAAATTTTACTATTAAGCGTCTTGACCAGGTTGCCTTTTTGGACCGACAGGCTTTAAAAAAAGTGTGAAGGTAATGGCAATGATCCGGTACCAACTATTTTTTCCAATAATAATTCCAAGATGTTGGTTTAAAAAATTACTTACTGCTGTATGCGAAATCAGTGTGTCATGAAATAAAGCCTCTTGTCTTAAACAGGATAGCGAAATGAAATGATTTTTGTCTTAAACAGGGTCAGGGTTTGAAGGTCTCGGCGGCACATATAAAAACCTTTACTCAAGTTTCCCTTTGAGTTCCCTTAGAGGCCAGGGTATATCGGCACATTAAACAAATTAGATCAATAAAAAAAATAAACCTTTTAAACTGTTCTTTATTCCTTTGCACCTAAAACCAACGGTGAAGCACGGAGTCGTTCAACTACGGCATACGCTAAAATCTATGTTTTAGGCCTTTCTCTCGCTTTACAATTGCTTCAATAGCAACCACAAGCTTAGAATTCGCTAACAGGGCGTTTCTTTACCCACTCATTTATTTCGGGCACGTTTAACACCCGTTTATAATGCTCCACCAAGAGCGGGAACTTCTCAAGTTCCTCAGGAACATCCTCTTTACCCTTCGAATGGAAGTTGTTAAAGAAGTCAAAGAAAGTGATGTCGGCATAGCTCAGCTGCAGATAAGAAACAGAAAGAAATCGCAGTTACGCCAGGGGCGTAGGATTGGGGTAACCTTTCTTCTGCGTGTATGATAAGCCTCAGGCAATAGATGCGGTTACACAAACCATGGTAAAAGGCTCTTCCCACGTTAACGAAGACCTGGTAAATTTAACTTGGGTTTAGTTTAGAGTTCCCATTAAGGCCTGTTTCAAATTCGTCGTGCTTCTGCCGTACTAAGCTGCCTCGACTGTAGCTCGACTGCAGCACGACACTAGCACGACTTGGTTTCAGACGTCGAAATTTATTCAGTCGAACAACGGCGGTTCCCAAAAACAAAACACAAAAACAAAGAAACGGTTTAGCAAACTTTTAAATGTATTCTAATGTATTTATAATTTACGAATTGAGTTCGGCACGGCGGTAACACGACGTTTGAAACGGGCCTAAGGTAATTAAGCTGCTATCAGGTTATGGCTTCATTCGCGCAGTTACGGTAATAATCGCCGTCGACATTGGTAGTATTTTATGTTATGTTGAAAATTTACGTATAATTTTATAGCTGAAACTGGTATGTTATTCATGATAATTTAGCGAAGGTACATAGTTCGATTTTACAGTTCAGCTGCATCCCACTGTTCGATACCAGGAATAGAACATATTTTTGGGAAATATCGTTTCTAAATTTATTTCAGCAAACCAGTTCAAAATTTTGCCATGAAATCTGCCATGTCACCATCGATCTTTCTCTCAACAGGTGCGAAAGAAACGAGTTTAAAAAAGCAATTTTTTGCGTTTTCATTTTGAACAAACCTGATGGTTGTTTTGCTTGGGTATAGAAAACCCTAGCTTTTTACCAAGTTCAATGTCATGGGCGGTTTCTTTGCTCTTTTTGACGTAACCATGGATATTTCTCATGGTAAATGTATCTCGGGAAAGTCCGGTCACACGCACCGAGGCAATTTCCCACGGTGAAAGGGTCATTTGCCATGGTAAATAAAAAGTGTCCCGTGTAACCGCACATAATGTATTAGGCTACCGTAAAATTCCGAAAATAAGCCCCTCCAAACTAAGCCCCCCAATCCGGTAACGCAGAAAACCTTCCGTTAAATCGCCCCTCCAAATATAAGCCCCCCGGGGGCTTGCACTTGGAAAATTGCCCTCAAATACAAAGTAAAACAAAGCAAAAACGGTAAATTTACTTCCAACCATAAAGCTAGCCCAATCGATTTTGAAACGCAAAATTTCCCTCCGTAGATAAGCCCCTCCGAATATAGGCCCCTCCAAAAATAATCCCCTCAAAAAGGGCCTTTGAAAAATATCAGCCCCGGGGCTTATTTTCGAAATTTTACGGTATGCTTACACTATACCGGATTCTTTTCGTGGTGGCTATCTGAGCTGCTATAGTGTTTTATTAAAATCCAGCTAGTGTGGTCTATTATCAATGCTGCGTTCTGACTGGTTGAGCTACTACTAGGCTATATGTTATAGCCCACTATTAGTAGCGAAAAGCGCCGGCTTTGAAAATCAAAACAAAAACAATGGCTGATCGCCGCTTGGGACGTCCCTAGTGGCGAGAACGAGGGGATACGGCTGAATTCTAAGGCTATCATCGTTTTATTTATTACTTAATTACTATACTCGTTAGTGTTCTAAACAGGCCTAATCCCCTTGGCACGCTTTGCGCATTCTTCTAATCTTACCTTTTCGCCCAGAAAGAAGCCCTTGCCTTCATCCCTGTTTTTGAGAAGAGCTTCAAATTTCTCGAGCCGGGCAGGAAGCGTCGTTCCATAAAACTCCTTTTTTATCTCCTCCTTTATTTTTAAAGCAAAGCAAATCATAGATCACTAATTAACACAAAGTTTTAGGAAATAGAATTTGGAGTAAAACCTACAGGATTGTACACGGAACAACGACCAATGAATTGAAAGCGCGCGTAAAATTCACTTCATTGTATAAATTTGGATCGATAACCTCTATGGATGTTGTATACCCGCCGCTAAAACTAAAACCGCCGCCGCTAAAACTAGTTTCATTCTTGCTTCTCAAGCGTTATATTAGAAATATATCATTTTTTGTGGGTAAAACGTTTATTAATGTATGTGCTGAATGACTACTTGAAAACCACTTTAAGGCGTTTCCTTAGAACAAAGACAACTAACGAAGTAGTAACTACCCCATACTGCCCTGGCTTCAATTTATATGCCTTCTTTACACTTTTTCATGCCCGACGCGAATGCGATTATGTGAAACACGTTCTTTTAGCCAAGTATTTTACTTCAATCAGGGTCTGCAAGAGGATGAAAGGGGGTAAAAAATCCCGCATCCCGCATTTTTTTTTTCGATATCGCTTTCCCGAATTGCTCTTTTGTTTCTACAAACAAAAAACAAACAAACAAACAAGGCACACTTTAAAGTTTGGTCTGAAAGGAGACAACACTCAAAATGTGCCCGATTGATTCGCAGTTTGCCGCTCAAACGTATGATTTCCCGAATTCACAACATACGGGCAAAAACATCCCGCATCCCGTGCTTAAATTTTGGCGTATACCGCTTCCAGGGTAGCTGTAAAATCTTGTTTCCCGTCAAGAAATTTTGCGTTTTCCCGAATCGCGCACCGTATTTTGGTCAAATCCTGGATCCCGAAAATACCCTTCCAGACCTTGTTCAATTCCCAATGTTAGCAAATTAAGAATTTTATGCCGCTGAGGGAAATCTAGACTGCAAAACAGCCCGTATTTTTTCCTAGATTAAGAACGCGCGCGCGAGCGGTAGCTCAGTGTCTTCATTCTGATAAAGACGATCTGATAGAAAATTTGTTCAAAATCACGACCCAACATTACAAAAAGTTCACTTCCGGTTGACGGGCGTCGCTCAAAAACGTCTTTGCTCAAACTCCCGAATATCGTGCGAAGCGCTTTGCAAAGCCGATTTTATGAAAAAGACCGACTGAATTGCAGTCCGGAGTAAAGCATGACTACATTCTATGTGGGGAACTGAAACGGACATCAACTTTTGCAATACCTTCTTCGTTTCATCTTTCTCATGGTATATGTTGCTCAATGGCCTAAATAAATCAGTAACTCCATCACTTATCATATCCGCTGTCGCTTCATCAAAGCTGTCAGCTGGGCACAAACCTAATCACCATAAGTAAAAATGAAAGCTAATCAAGTATTCGCCTTCTTAACTAATAAAAAGCAAGAAGAAAAAAAAAAGAGAGAAAGGAAAAGAAGGGAAGGTAAGAAAGAGAGAATGAAAAGGAGAAAAAAAGACTCAGAGACAAGGAATAAGAGAAAAGAAAAGAAAAGAAAAGAAAAGAGAGAGAATGAAGAAAAAATGGAGAATGGGAGAATGATAAAAGAACGAGCGAACGAGGACAGACGGACTGGATGAATGGTTCGATGGATGGATGGGTTGATGAATGAATGAATGAAGGAAGGAAGGAAGGAAGGAAAGAAGGAAGGAATGAATGAATGAAGGAAGGAAGGAAGGAAGGAAGGAAGGAAGGAAGGAAGGAAGGAAGGAAAGAAGGAAGGAAAGGAGGAGGGAAGGAAGGAAGGAAGGAAGGAAACAAGGAAGGAAGGAAGGAAGGAAGGAAGGAAGGAAGGAAGGAAGGAAGGAAGGAAGGAAGGAAGGAAGGAAGGAAGGAAGGAAGGAAGGAAGGAAGGAAGGAAGGAAGGAAGGAAGGAAGGAAGGAAGGAAGGAAGGAAGGAAGGAAGGAAGGAAGGAAGGAAGGAAGGAAGGAAGGAAGGAAGGAAGGAAGGAAGGAAGGAAGGAAGGAAGGAAGGAAGGAAGGAAGGAAGGAAGGAAGGAAGGAAGGAAGGAAGGAAGGAAGGAAGGAAGGAAGGAAGGAAGGAAGGAAGGAAGGAAGGAAGGAAGGAAGGAAGGAAGGAAGGAAGGAAGGAAGGAAGGAAGGAAGGAAGGAAGGAAGGAAGGAAGGAAGGAAGGAAGGAAGGAAGGAAGGAAGGAAGGAAGGAAGGAAGGAAGGAAGGAAGGAAGGAAGGAAGGAAGGAAGGAAGGAAGGAAGGAAGGAAGGAAGGAAGGAAGGAAGGAAGGAAGGAAGGAAGGAAGGAAGGAAGGAAGGAAGGAAGGAAGGAAGGAAGGAAGGAAGGAAGGAAGGAAGGAAGGAAGGAAGGAAGGAAGGAAGGAAGGAAGGAAGGAAGGAAGGAAGGAAGGAAGGAAGGAAGGAAGGAAGGAAGGAAGGAAGGAAGGAAGGAAAGAAGGAAGGAAGGAAGGAAGGAAGAAAGGAAGGAAGGAAGGAAGGAAGGAAAGAAAGAAGGAAGGAAGGAAGGAAGGAAGGAAGGAAGGAATGAATCGAATGGGGAGAAAAAAAAACTTGAAAATAAACTTGTATAAACTATATCGACAGGTAATTTCCTACGCAGACCTTCTTAGGGCTTTGCTTTCCTTGGGGGAAGAACGCGTGAAGCTTCCAAAAACATCTACTCGGGAGGCTAATGAGCAGGAGTAGCCTGGGAGCCAGCTCTCCTTTTGGGGTCGTCGCGAAAAGTCACGCGAGAACAACAAGCAAAAGGAGACGCAGGCGCGAGGGGTTGGCCACGCGCTCACGCGGTCTCCTCACGGCTCGCAGGCTACGGCAGGAATGATAAGCTGATTAACAAATTACGTTCAATACATCACCTCCTTTTTTGCAGATGTACTTCATAATTGTACCAGACTGTGCCAAGGTTATTCCCTCAGGAGACACAATGAAGGGCATTTGACCAAGAGGTGGTCTGCCAGCTGAAACAGAACAGACAGAAAAGTAGTAGAACGTCGGGATTTCTTCTAAAGAGAAGTTAATGGCAGCCCTGGTTATGCTAAATCCCGGCGGAGGGGGGAGTATTCAGTGAAGTCTTACACGGGAGGGCTCCACCCCAAGGTCCAACACCTCATCCTTACATAAACTATTTTTAACATAAAAGGCATCCCTTTCAATTTGAATGATAAATGGTACCCCTGCATCTTTTGCGAACTTCTGTAAATGCACCATTTGTTTGTATGTGAATATATCACTAAACCAGGAAGTTTTCCCGTCGCTTACAAAGCCATAAAATGCGTCTGTTAGGCGTTAAGGTCCTTTTACAGACCGAAATGACAGATTTCCCTATCCTTTCATATACCTGAAACCTGAAAAGGTACCTCTTTTGGATGAGGCCTCACCGTCTAGGCCATTATAGGGAGTTCCTCCCCTGGGTGCTTATTAATTCGATGAACATAAAACGAGAAGTCCAAAGACTACTGCAACGCTGATCATAACAACGTGTATTCGATACCAGACTGCAGCTTGTGAGCTGTCTCTTAAAATAGTCTTTTTCAAGGGTGGGGCGCGACGTTTATCACGCTTGTGGCAAGGCCGCAGACGCAGTAAACGATGGCATCCGTCACGCAACGCTCCACCCCAGGAGGGGTTTATGGGTACAATATAATCCAATCCAATCTTATCCAATCAATTTATTAGTGTCATAACGTGGGATAGGGTTGCCCCAAATATCCTCTTTAATATGGATTCCATATGGGGCAGTACTTCTGATTTTAAATGACGGGGATGATCAAAGGAATTTTTTTTTGGGAGTGGCGGAGGTTGAGATTTTCGAATCCAGGATTTTTGGGGTAGGAAAATTTGGCAAGTAGTTTTTTGGGTGGCTTGATTTAAGTAAGGATTTTTAGGGGTATTCAAAACTATCTGAAGTTGTTATTCTGTATAGCGTTATTGTTAAAACAGAAGATCTTCTTGGTTGTTTCGAATGTTGCTATGATGAGTCATCGAAACAGACACAAACATTCAATTTGTAATATTTTTATTTTTTGTATTGTATCATTTAATGCCTTCTGGTAATTTTTAAGGCTCGTGAATTCGGCATGGGATTTTTAGGGGGTTAATTTTCTGTCCAGGTAGTTTTTCAGGGTTTTGTTGGAAGCCCTACGGATTTTTGAGTTTTTATTTTTGCGCCCATTGGGTCATCGCCGTCACTTGAAAGTTTTATTTCTTGGAGGGCCTCTGGAGAACATGATTGGCGTTTCCGTATTATATTCTGATCCTTCAGTTCATGTGAAGAAAAAACAATCAGAAGGTTCAAAGTTACAATACCAACCGGGTAAGGAATTAAAACCAGGAGAATATTTGAATTGTAAGTTGAAATTATGTGCCGAAACGTTTCACGCACCTTTGTAGAGCTTTGTATGGAGACGCCATATAGGTGTACCGTTTTGGTGCACCAATATGGCCGCCGGAAATCAACAAGAACATATGGAGTGCCCTTTTTTATAAAAGCTCTTTCTTTTCACTCGAGAACTAACATACGTACGCATAAACATATCTTCTAATACTTGAAGTGGTTATACTGCTGAAAATCAAGAGGAGAGACTTTTTTTCAACGAGACAGCATTCCTTTTTTGGTGTCACGCACTGTGAAAACTCGGAAGTTCAAATTGCACCTACGGACCTACGTACGGTTATGTGACAATAGTCAGCGGATATCCTGTTTTGACAGCCGTCAGTTGATCTTAATATGGAGGTCCATTATCAAGTTAAACACAGGTTACAGGCTCCCACACCAGGTAGAAAGTTTGACATTTGATATTGGTTGTCCTGTGGTGCGGACTGACAGCCGTACGGTCACATAATTACCCAAATTTCGCGGATGGACGGCTCCAATCGCGTGCGCGTAGCGCTCCGCTATTAAGAGAAAGATTATCATATCAGTTCAGATCAGAGAGTGAATCAAATGAGGATATTTGCTACCTGTAGAATAAAAGAAAGATTGTCGTTCTTTAATAGAAAGGAAGCAATAAAGAGAGTATGAAGTGTTTCCCGTCTTCCATTTCACTTTGAGAACAATATTTGCATATTCTCAGTCATCTCTAATTTACCTTTTTGTCGAGTCTAGTCGTTTTTGATCCTGTTTTGTTAAACTGAGAACAAATTTGATTTGCGGAAGAGATGGAGGACTGTTTCCCAGTATTTGCTAATTCTTTTGATATAGTCATGAGCAAGTAGACTGTTTATATTTCAAGACTATAATTACTCTGCGCGCCATTGAAGCAAATATTTGCCGGAAATTTTACGTAGTGGAAAGGATTACGAATCAAATATTCCACATGAAAAATATATCAGGCTTACAGTTTTTTCAGCTGAGTTGCCTAGGATATTGAATCAATCTACCGCAAACATTAGAAGCTCGTTTATTTAAACCAAGAAAGTATTTATAGAATTGGGAGAATATAGTCGCATTTCCGCAGGGTCATGTTCCCCATTAATTAATCCAGGTTCAGTTTGGCACTTTTCCCACCCCATACTTCAGAGTTATACAGTAATAATAGGTTTAAATAGTGTGGTAAAAAGTTTGCTGCCTATATCAATAGATAAGTCAGGAAAGCTTTTTGTTGCAAAAATACTGCGTCTACACTATTTCTACCAAAAGTGAGCGCAAACCCCTCTGCAGGGTTGAACGATCGGGGGAGCCTGTCCGCTTGTTGACACGTTTGGCGGAAACGTTATTTAACTGGTACATCAATTACCGTCCTTAGCGAGTGATTTTGAAGCTGGCCTAATGTCCTAAATATACCGTTTACAATTGCTTTTTGAAACCTCTCTCCTGCATTGAAGAATTTAGAAACCTACAGTTCCCAGCGGTTACTTTCGGTAAATCTTTTGGCAGGTGTGCTGCCAGAACGGACCAGAAGAAGTGTCTTTTTCCAACCCTTTTTCAGACCTGTCCTCTAATATCCATCCCGGCCGTTTTTAGAGCAAGCAAACGAGGGTCACAAACGCGACATACATGGGCAGAAATTATGTCAACATTACTCTGATTAAAACACCCTCAAGGGTTTCTTTTTACTGTGTCTTTCTTTCTCTTGCATTAGCGAGCAGCGACACTATAGTGAGATATGACGTTTATGGCAGATGCTGTGATACTTTACCTTTTTCACTTCGTCCTCTTCATAGTATGGAAATAGAGTACTGGTTCTCACAAATCAATCTTCTTTGAACTATTTTTTCCAATAAGATCTAATTCCATGATGTGGGTTTAAAAAATTACTTACTGCTGTATTCGGAATCTGTGTGTCAAGAAATAAGGCCTCTTGTCTTAAACAGGGTAGCGAAATGAAGGTCTCGGCGGCCCATATAAAAACCTTTACTCAAGTTTCCCTTTGAGTTCCCTTTGAAGCCGGGGTATATCGGCACATCGAACAAATTCGATCAATACAAGAATAAACCTTCTAAAGTTTTCTTTATTCCTTTGCACCTAAAACCAACTGTGAAGCACGGAGTCGTTCAACTACGGCACACCCTAAAATCTCTGTTTTAGGCCTTTCTCTCGCTTTACAATTTCTTCAGTAGTAACCACAAGCTTAGAATTCGGTTACAGGGCGTTTCTTTACCCACTCATTTATTTCGGGCACGTTTAACACCCGTTTATAATGCTCCACCAAGAGCGGGAACTTCTCAAGTTCCCCAGGAACATCCTCTTTACCCTTCGAATGGAAGCTGTTAAAGAAGTCAAAGAAAGTGATGTCGGCATAGCTCAGCTGCAGATAAGAAACAGAAAGAAATCGCAGTTACGCTAGGGGCGTAGGATTAGGGGAGCCTTTCTTCTGAGTGTGTGCTACAAGCCTCAGGTAATAGACGCAGTTACACAAACCATGGTAAAAGGCATTTCCCACGTTAACGAAGCCGTGGTAAATTTAACGGCTTCATTCGAGCAATAACGGTAATAACCGCCGTCGACAATGGCAGTATTTTATGTTATGTTGAAAATTTACCTATAATTTTCAACTGGTATGTTATTCATGATAATTTAGCGAAGGTATATAGTTCGATTTTACAGTTCAGCTGCATCCAACGGTTCGATCTATCCCAACAAACCAGTTCAAAATTTTGCCTCAAATTTCCCTTGTTTCTTTCATCTTAACGTGAAATCTGCCATGTCACCATCGATCTTTCTCTCAACAGTGTCAAAGAAACCCTTTTAAAAAAAGCAATTGTTCGGGGTTTCATGTTGAAGAAATCTGATTGGCTGCTTTGCCTTGGGTATCGGAAAACCCTTGCTTTTTACCAAGTTTAATGTTATAAGCGGTTTCTTTGCTATTTTTGACGTAACCATGGATATTTCCCATGGTAAATTTATCTCGGGAAAGTCCGGTCACACGCACCGAAGCAATTTTCCACGGTAAAAGGGTCATTAATATTTACCATGGTAAATAAAAAAATGTCCCGTGTAACCGCACATACGAGGGCCATTTATACGAGGAAAAATAAGACGCGTGTTACTTAAGACGCGAACTGTACCATTTATATGAGCAGGTCTTATCTAAGACGAAAACAGCTCGTGTAAATATGGTTCGCGTCTTATTTCTGTTCTTGACTCGTATCCATGTGAATGTTGCCCGTAGCAACGGCAATCCAACATTTGTCCTCGAGATCTGCTATTGCCCTCTCTTTGCATAACAACAAAAAATCCTTTTCTTCAGCGGTGGACCACGTGTTTCGGTGTTTCGTTTTGTCTTTGTCAGCGTGCTCATTATACATGAGCGAATTAAGAAACAATAAAGCTTAAAAGTCTTAGAATAGACGGCAGCCCAAGGAATCGAAAACGCGTTGTAATATGTAATAACTTTTCCCTGCCAGTAGCCTGCCAGTCCACCGCGGGGCAAGCGAAAATTTTCCCGCCAAAAATTAACGCATGCTTACTATGCGTTTGCGCCTTATTTAAGACGCGAAGGCCATTTATACGACGTTTTTCTAAGAACAGCTGCTAAGGGCTGTTCTAAAATAAGACGCGTTTTAGAAGAGTTGTTGCCGTGACTATTCACTGAACCTATTAGTTTTTTGACGTTTTTGTTGTCGTCATTGTCATAGCACTCCCTATTTTAAAAAAATCGCTGACCAAACCCCTGACGCGCACCAAATTTACAGAGTAACAGAAGGGAAGACGTCACGCTAGGAATTCATGCTGCTCAGTGCCATGCAAAATGTGCTGACGTTGCTATATTTTAAAATTTTTTGAAAAGACTTTCTTTGGGACGGGTTGAACTTTGAAGGCTCAGGGTGCGGTCATCGTTTTAGCCTGAGGATAAAGGCGTCCCTTCTCGCTTCTCGATCGCCGCTTGGGACGTCCCTAGTGGCAAGAACGATGACAGATGGCTGAATTCGAAGGCTATCATCGTTTTATTTATGACTTAATTACTATTGATCGTTTTCACATGACGTCACGGCGGCCATATTCGTGTCCCAAACCAATGAACCGTCGGCCATGTTTGTGTCCCAAACCAGTTTTGTGGAAGTTGAACTCTTTTCTTATGTAAAAACTTTCTTTTGTTCCAATAAACTAGCATAGATGCTGACCACGTGAGTGAAAACGCTCTATACTCGTTAGTGTTCTAAGCAGGCCTAATACCCCTTGCTATGCTTAATTTGCGCATTACTCGTATCTCACCTTTTCGCCCAGAAAGAAGCCCTTGCCTTCATCCCTGTTTTTGAGAAGAGCTTCAAATTTCTCGAGTCGGGGAGGAAGCGTCGTTCCATAAAACTCCTTTTTCAGCTCTTCCTTCATTTAAGGAAAACAATAAGTAGGTCATTAATAAAACTAAATTCTGGGAAAGTGGTAAAAGTAAATTAAACCCACGGGATTGTACACGGAACAAAACTGAGAAGTACATGTCGAAGCTCCCTGTATACGGATGAACTGGCAATGGGAAGACTCCACTTACGGATAGGGGGGAAACTCCCAAAATGACCTATACGGGGAGGCTCCGCCCGAAAGGGGTGCTTTTCTCAGGCTTCAGGTTTATGAAAGAGGAGGTATTTCATTAGTTGAAGCATATGGAAGGGTAGAGACGTATGTCATTTTTGGCAGTAAAAAGGTCCAAAAGGGCAAACAGATGAAATTTATGGCTGTAAAAAAGACGAGAAAACGTTGTGGTTTTGTGATTTAGCAATTTTCAAAGACAGTGCATTCATATATAATTACAGCAGTTAAAAGGGATGCAAAGTTTTTAACTAAGTATGTGAAAGCGGTACGATTTTTCAATATAAGGTTTGCTTAAGGGGCACCTTTTCCGTCAAAGATGGTATATAATTAAACGCGGGTTAGGGGTTGGACAACGCCACAAGGCTGTTTTTACAGTTGGGAAAAAATTATTGCCAATACTTCGAAAAGCGCGGACTTTCTTCTTAGAATGACTACTTGAAAACAACTTTAAAGCGTTTCCTTAGAACAGAGACAACTAACGAAGTAGTAACTACCCCATACTGTCCTGGCTTCAATTTATATGCCTTCTTTATAATTTTTCAGGCCACGCGAATGCAATCATGTGAAACATGTTTTTTTAGACAAGTATTTTACGTCAATCACGGTACAAAAGCGGTCCTGATCCCACACAAACGCTCCTTTTTTAAGAAAATCCCGCATCCCGCTATTCTTTTTTCATATCGCTTTCCCGAATTCCTAACACTTTATAGTTTGGTTTGAAAGGTGACAATGCTCAACACACACCGGTCCGGTTGATTCGCATTTGCCTCTCAAACGCATGATTTCCCAAATTTACAACATACAGGCAAAAACATCCCGCATCCCGTGCT